GTTGGCCTCAAGTTTCACCTCCCACATGTTCCTGAGCAGCCCCAAAGCCCGTTGCCACTGCGCACCCTTCTCGCACGCGCTGATCCCAGCGCTGTAGCTGATGACGTTGGCCTCCACTCTCGCACCTCCCATCTCGCTGAGCAGAGCCAACGCCAGCTTCCAATGCTCGGATTTCTCGCACGCGCTGATCCCAGCGCTGTAGCTGACGACGTCGGGATCCGCCTTCACCTCAAGCATCTCTCTCAGCAACGCAATAGCGTGCTCCCACTGCTCGCATTTCTCGCACGCGCTGATCCCAGCGTTGTAGCTTAAGTAGCGTGAACCCGTGAATTACATACACGGTGTGCTGAGCCTGGGGTTCCCACACCGTGGGTGAACAGCTCGTAGAAGTTGAACAGCTCGGGCGTCCCTGGGGCCGTGTCGGGGGCATGGTGGGCCCTCCTGCGAGCCTGCCTGCGAGCGAGCCTGCCTGCGAGCCTGCCTGGAGCGGCCTCGGGCCCCACAGTTGGGCATTTTTGGTTTTTGTCTTCCCCCCCACTTCCCATATTTTCCCATATCTTCTGGGGGATCGACGATTAATTGTGTCTGTGTTTTTTTTCCTCCTGAGTTGAGGCGGTCATGGCGGGGTCTGCGTGTGCCAGCTGAAGGACATGTTGGGGGCCTGTACGTTCTTGGACACGACCTGGCGGCCCCCAGGGTCGTCAGAGGGCATCCCGGGGCCGCCCTGCCTGTGTGTCCAGTGGCCGTCTCGGACTGCTATGGGATCGTCTCGGACCACCTGGTGAACGTCGTGCTGCCTCGGGGGTGGTCCATCACTACTGCTTCCCTGTCTCGCGCGCGCCCTGATGCAAGAATCGTCGAACGGATGGTGTTGGGCTCCATCTTCGCCTTCCACATCTCCCTGAGCAGCGACAAGGCCTGCTGCCACTGCCAATCTTTCTCGCACGCGCTGATTCCGGCGTTGTAGCTGACTAGTGTGAACCCGTGGATTGAATCCACGGTGTGCTGAACCTGGGACTCGCTCACCGTGGGTGCACAGCTCATCGAAGTTGAACAGCTCGGGCGTCCCTGGAGCAGTGTCGGGACGTTCTGGGGGCCGTTGTGCCAGAGGGCACGAAGAGGGTCCCCAGAGGGCCCCAAGAGGGCTCCAAGAGGGCCCCAGGACGCCGCCGGGCGCGGGCCCACCATTCTGCCACGAGAGGCCTTTTTGTGGCAGAATGCACCTGGCCCTGTCTTGGAGGGGCCCGAAGGCCCCAAGAGGACCGCAAGAGCACCCCCAGGGGGACCCCAGAGGGCCCCAAACCGCATGTACTTGATATGCTTCTTGGGCTTGCGAGAGGGGCACCCAAGTGCATGCGTCATGGGGCCTTGTCGGGGCCCCCTTGGGACCCTCCTGCCCGCTCTTGGGGCCCCTGGGGAGCGCTCCCACCCTGTCCTGGCCCCCTCTTGGGGCCGCCATAGGCGCCTAAGGAGCTGTCCTGGCGCAGACTTGGGCCGTCTTGGGGCCCTCCTGGCAGCCTCCTGAGGCGTCTTGGAACGATCTTGAAGGCCTTTCTGGCCGTCTTGGACGCTTCGAAGGCGAAAAGCACAGGAACTCCTGAAATGCACGTTTTCCCTAGGGATTGGGGCGATTTTTCCTTGTTCGGGCTCTCCTGGGGATCTCTCTGGAGCCCACTTGGAGCATCTGGGTTGCCTCTTGGGCCGTCGAGCGGCTGTCTTGGGCGTCTTCGAGCGCTCCGGGCCCGTCTCGGAGACCCTCTTGGACGGTCTTCGGCAGTCGTCGGGCCCTGTTGGGGGCCTCCGGGGGGTCCAAGCGCCTGACCGCAACGGGCCGAGCCGGGCCGAGCCAGGCCGAGGCGGGCCGAGGCCACCAGGCCCTCTTTTCGCACGCACTGATTCCGGTACTGTAGTACAGATGAGCAAGAGCAAAGACGGGGATCTCCTCCTCCTCCTCCCCCTCCTCCTCCTCCTCCTCCTCTTCCTCCTCCTCCTCCTTTTCCTCCTCCTCCTCCTCCTCCTCCTCCTCCTCCTCCTCCTCCTCCTCCTCCTCCTCCTCCTCCTGCTTTTCCTCCTCCTCCTCCTCCTCCTCCTCCTCCTCCTCCTCCTTTCTCCTCCTGCTCCTGCTAGTCCTCCTCCTCCTCCTCCTCTTCCTCCTCCTCCTCCTCTTCCTCCTCCTCCTCCTCCTCCTCCTTCTCCTCGTTCGGAGTTGGAGCAGGATATGTACGGAAACCGTTTAATTGCGCTGGACGATGATAGCGGGCGCCGAGGGCAGAAGCAAACAATGATCGTAGAGGACAGCATCGCACATACATGCGTTAAAAAATCTTGCTGTATAACCTATAAAGCACATTGTCCGGTCGACCTTGGAACTCGCAAGATGACCCCATAACTCCAACGACTGTCCGGGGAGACAAGGGAATCTGAGATTCCCATGGGACACCCGGTGGCGGGCCAATGTTTCTCACTCGGTGCGCCTCCTCTACGGAGGGCTTGTTCTTCCCCGCCGTAGGATGCTGTCATTCATGGAATGGCCGTTCTGGGGGAAAGAAAAATCAACCCGCTGGCCCAACGAGCCAGAGGCGTGCTAAAATCTCCAGAGACAGGTTTCGATTGTTCCAGTTCGCGCGCGCGCACGTAGCGGCCCCCGGTGGTCCCGGCACGAAAATACCCCGGCGGCCCCCAGGCGGTCCCCGGGCAGGCCCCGGCAGGTCCCGTGCGATCGGCGTCACGCATGCTGGAATTCTAGGGGGCGGTCTTCAGGGCCCCACAAGAGTGCCTCAAGAGCGGCCCGAAGGACCCCAAGGGAGCTACAAGAAGTCATTCGAGTCGGGACCCATGGGTGGCAGGTTCCACGATGGCCCTATACATTTCCAAAGGTTTCAAAATACTTCAAAAATAATTAAAATGCAGCTCTGAAGGGCCAACAAGAGGCGAAATTTCATAGATTCCCCAAACACTGTTTGCACTTAGGGGTTCTGGGCCGTGCGGGCGGTCTGGCGGCTCTGTTCCAGCCGTCGCCGCCCCGTCGCCGCCTCGTCGCCGCCCGTCGTCTGGGCCGTGCGGGCGGTCTGCCAGCTATGTTCCCGCCGTCGCACCACGTTGCCGCCCCGTCGCCGCCTCGTCGCCGCCCGTCGCCGCTGTTGGATTTTTGACTGCACGGAAAAATCGCGCCTGCGACGAACTTCTTGATTGCTCAATACATGGATTGCACCACACACGGTGCACAACTTAGGTTGCACCACACAGACTGCACAGCATATACATATATATATATATATATATACACATACATACATACATACATACATACATACATACATACATACATACATACATACATACGTACGTACGTACGTACGTACGTACATACACACATGCATACATACATACATACATACATGCATGCATGCATACATACATACATATACATATACATATACATATACATATACATATACATATACATATACATAGACATATAGATATACATATACTTACATATATAATATATCAGAGCTTCATATATTGAACTATATCGATTTTCCTCTCGCAAAAGGAAATTTGCATTCTACCCCGACCACCACCCCGGGATGACCACCCCCCTGGGGGTATTGTAATTTACACATGATTACGCCTCCTTGCTCATTTTCGGCACGAATCCAGACCATCCCAGCTAGTACCAGTGTCAGCTCCCCGCCACATCCCTGTCAAATAATACCACGCGGTGCAAATGCGTTGATCCAAGATGAGCTGAATGCACAAATCCCTAGGACATGATACCATGCGTGCCACATGCGCACGCGCAAGACGATATCCTTACAAAACCTGTGTTTTCGTTGCGACTTTATTGTAAAAACATGTTTTGCGCTAGCCCCAAAATGGTTCTTCAACAACAAATCAACATTTCATCCCGCGCTTGTGGATCCCCAGGAAACCCAATGTTTTGTTCCAACTTTCCTGTCCAAGCAGGCCTTCGCGCGCGCATGCCGAACTTATTTCAATGCCCTCGCGCGCTTACCAGAGGCATGATCCCTATCAAATAATATCATGCGGGGCACCGTCATCGTCATCATTGCCGTCGTAAGCGTCGTGATCATTATCATCGTCGCTTGTCGACGCCGTTATCCGCGCTGTCTCCCGCAAGATGGACTTTGCCCGCTCGACGAGCGTCCGCGCGCCAACGAACACGATGAAATTATCGGAGGAGCTCCACGCTGCAACTGTACTCGCGACCTTGTGAGTTCTGTCAACCACCTCATCGTCGTTTCTCGACGCTGTCGTCCGCGCTGTCTCCCGCAAGATGGACATTGCCCGCGCCACGAGGGTCCGCGTGCCAGTGAGCTCGATTAAATTTGCGGTCGAGCTCCACGCTGGATCTGCAGTCGCGACATTCTGAGTTTTGCCGACCAAGATGCTGGGAGGGTGGGATGTTTGCACGAGCATGGAAGGTGGCCACGCGCGGTGCAGCGTGGTCAATTGCACAACATAGATTGCACCACATGGATTGATTGCACAACATAGATTGCACCACATGGATTGCACCACACAGATTGCACCACATTAGACTGCACAACATAGATTGCACTACGCATGTTGCACAACACGGACTGCACAACATAGAGTGCACTACACCAACTGCTGATCAGAGACTGCACCACCTACACTGCACAACATTGAGACCGATGCATTTTGACATTGCCACATCAACTGAGAGGTGCATTGGTGCATTTGCAGGCTTGTGCGAGATAATTGGACTCTTGCAAAGATGCAGGCGAGCACAAGCCACTGAGACTTCAAACTCGGGAGGGAAGGGAGGGAGACTAGAACCAAAAAGGCTACACTACAGAGCAATATAGAATGCGGACTCAACTGGGAGCAAGCTCTGGAGATGAGACCGATGCATTTTGACATTGCCACATCAACTGAGAGGTGCATTGGTGCATTTGCAGGCTTGTGCGAGATAATTGGACTCTTGCAAAGATGCAGGCGAGCACAAGCCACTGAGACTTCAAACTCCAAACCCCAGATGCAAGCGTAGCCGTGCCTTCCGACAGCGCAACTATAGAGCTGGGGCGACGATATTGGCCAGCAGTGAGCAGAGCTCGTGAGGATACGGCTGCGCCATGGCCGTGCGCCAAACTCCTTTGGCGTCTTTTCCCTCCAGTATCGCGTGCGAGAGGCCAGAGCACGAGCAGACGGACTTGGAGGGTCGGCACCGCGGCAAGGCAAGCGGTGGCCAGTTCACAAAAAGGATTTTGGTGGCCTTCTTCCAAGGCATCCCAAATTGGCAAAAGTCTGTTACCTGCATGTTGGCCGTTGGCAGGAGCGACAGCGACCTGACTTCTTTGGTGAGCCAGACCCGGCTCGTGGCTGGATTCTCAAGGGCACAAGGGCAGCCACACTCCGCTGCCAGCTTAAAAATTCTAGCCATCTGCCTCAAAAGTAAATTATGCAAACGCACTTTGCCTGCATCACCGGGCGAGAGATCAGGCAGCCCGTACAAGTGGGTATCATCATCTCTAAGCGGACCTGGCCCTCGCCCGTCCCAGCGCCTGGCTCTGGACCATGTCTGACAAGGAAGACCAAACCAGACGAAACAGATGACGCGGTCCACAATCTCTTTTTCCAGCTTGCGTAAAGACTCAGTCCTCAAAAAATCAGCCGCCTCGCCTTGCTCGATGTCCCAGGCCTCTGCTGGGACACCGGCGCAGGCGAGAGCTTGCGAGAGCCTCCCACAGCCTGAGAAGACCTCGACGGCCCGGCACCCCTGGACGAGGCGGCGGCCCGTGGGAACAAAGAGGTGTGGAATGCGTCCTTCAACTTGTCTAAAGCCAGGGCACCTTTCATGTTCGTGTCGTCCGAGACCTTTGCCTGTTGTTGGAGGAGGCGCCCGTGGGCTTCGTACCGCCTCACCGTGCGATCGGAGAGCCACCGACCCCGCGCCTTGACGCTTGCCAACGATCTTCTCTTGAACAGGATGTCGTGGCTGGGGCCGGAGTGCCTCATGTGGCAAGCGGTGATCTTGAGCTTCTCCAGACCGACCTTCTTGGCCGCTCCCAACATAGCCTGGCCGAGGAGCGGGTACTTGAACTCGAAGAACAGCCTGTCTGGTTGCCCCTTCCTGAGTCCTGCCAGCAGGTCTCCCAGCCATGGGAGGTCGGCCGAGTCCAGCACCAGGCTCTCCTCGAAGAGGTTGACCTTGGAAGGGTGCTGATCCAGCTCCTCGTGCATGTGCAGACTCCACAGGGCCGAAGCCGAAGTGCGCGGCGGGGAGACTAGGGCCTTCTCCTTCAACCTCATGGCCTCCCCTGGCCGCAGGTATGCGACCCACATCGTGGCCAGCGCCAGAGCCATGAGAGGGGACCCCATGTGGATCATCTCGAGCCACAGCAGCGCGAGCAGGTGCAGCGGGATCGGCGGCCTGGTCCTGCCCGGCTCGAGCCTCCTCCAGCCCCGGAGGGCCTTGCGGGCCCGCGGGAGCACATTCCTCCCGGCCTTCGAGTAGTCGGGGTAGAAGTACATGTACGCAGCCAGCACCTTCGATCCCTCCGAGACGTCGTGCCCCGTCGACCACATGTGGTTGATGTAGTCCGTGAGCACGAGGTCGGGCTGCCTCTCCAACTTGATCGACAGCCGGTTCTGAGCGATCCACTCCTGGAAATCCGAGTGGCGCTGATCGTAATCCTTGCACGTCTTGGTGCTCACCGAACTGGACTCGAGGAAGGTGCCCCGCCCCTCCACGGCCTTGGCCCGGGCGCTGCCCGCCAGCGAAGCGCGGGAGGCTACCCGGGCCTCTCTCGTGGCGTCCCCAGAGGCGAGCGTCGTCCTCTTCGTCCAGCTCCAGCCACTCCGCGAGCGAGATGGTGGCCCCTGCGCCGGGCGGAGGGTCCGCTGCACAGGCGGAGCGCCGGCGCGGCTCCCAGAGGCGGGAGCCCTCGTCGGCACGGTTGCTCTCTGAGGGGATCCAGCGGTACACGTAGCGCGACCCCGAAGCCACTGAAAAGGCTGCGGTCTTACGGCATGACTTGTTGAGAGAGAAAGACGACGACCTGCCCTTCTCCATGGCCAGCACCGTCCCCAGATTGTCCCCAAGTAAGAGGTGTCGCCTTCGAAACCCATAGAGGCCCCTCGTAGCATGGCGAACCCCAGAGGCCATGCCGACACTCTCTAGTACTGAGATAGGGCCATCACGACCACGAAACCTTGAGGCATACTGCAACTTCCAGTCTTCCTTGCCGAGGTATCGCGGGTCGATCTCGGCGAAATCGGGGTTCGGCTCGTACGTCGAAATAGCTTTCGGCTCGGCGATGGTCTTTACGGTGTTGATGTCACTGAAAGGGTCGCCGAAGGCAGGCAGGGCAGCATCGCGAGGTGCAGTCGCAGACGGCAGACGACTCCGGTACCTCCATTTCTCTCGGACAGACCCGTACTCCTTGATGACCTCCTGAGGCCAACGCGTAGCAGCAACGGCAAACCCCGACAGGCACGCATCGGTAGCGAGGACCCTCTCCGACCACTCCAGGCAGAGATCCGACATGGTGACCTGGATGAGATACGATATCTGACGAGCCTCGTGAGCGGCCTCAGTCCAGAGACGTCCTGGAGCGGCCCCCAACTTAGCAGCGAAGTCATACATGCGCCTAAATACCGAGAGGCCCGGGCGGAAGATGAGAAAGGCGGCAATGCAATGACCGATGAACCGACTCAGCGCCAAACCTGTAATCCGAGGCCGTCGCGCCAGAGCTCGGGCAGCGGCGGCAATTCGCTCCCTGCGCATCGGATCGACCCAGACCTTCATAGCGCCCCCGTCGATATAGTAACCCAGAGCGGTGAACTGCCTAACAGGACCGAAGACCTCGTGAACAACAAAGCCTGACTTGACGAGCTGGACAATGACGGCATCCCGAGTCTCCCTCGCCAGTTTGGGGCACGTCGCAAGAACCATTAGGTTGTCACAATACACATTCAGAACCGGGAGATCCGAGCGCCATTCAGGAACAGGGGCCCCCTCCTCCATGAGTCTCGAGGGCGCCCAGGGCAACGCTAGACAGATCTGATGTATGTGGACACGCTGCGCCAGCCACATCGCCCAAGTCCAGCCCATCGGCACGGAGCGAAGGCGAGGTCTGACCTCCAAAAGGCCATGGAGCGCCCCGCCCAAAGCAGCGGGGACACCCCACTCGAGCAACAGAGCGCCTGGCACAGGCGGCAGCGCAAAGAAGGGCCGCAGGTCAGGCGGCATGGCGAGCCAAAAGAAGTAGTCCGCGATATCGGAACCAGCACCCCACATGCCGTGCTCCTGCAGCTCCGTCGGGATCTGCAAACCTGCGAACGCCGAGCCACTCGCCATGCGGATCTTGGGCGGACTGCGCCAACGGATGTTGGCCACCCGGCAGTCCCACACGAGCCGCTGCTTGCCCGACTTCTTGCGTACGAAGAATGGGTAGACGGTCTCGAAAGCGTCCGTCCCGAAATCCACGAGGTTGGACTCGAATAGGTCGCGGACGAACTGGTAGTATAGCAACCTGTCCCTCTTGAGCCTCACGTCCATGTAGGGCTTAATATGTGCCTGCTGGTCCATGATGGCTCCCATCTCGACGGGCGAGCGGAGCATCGCGGTGGTGAAGCCGTCGACTACGCCTCTGCCGGAGTCGTCGATGACGTCCGTAAGCCACGGAGGCGAGGCCCCCGCAGCTGGCATCGAGACCCGGCCTCGATCATACGGCTCCACGCTGCAACTGGAATCCCCCCCAGCATAGGAGAACTCCGATCCACAAAGCGCCTGTAGGGCTTCGCGGTCTTTGTACAAGGATGTGCAAGTAGGCCTTGCCGCCAACGTAGACAAAACTTGACCATGGGCAGCACGATGAGCAGCCGTAGGCCTGAAGGAAGAGATGGCGGCCGGAGAAGCTAAAACATTGAGCGTCTCAACGACCCCGTTGGCGAGCAGCTGCCTCGAACGCCTCCTCGACATACGCTTGAAGACGGTAGCAGAAAGCCCGGGATCAGGGCGCTCATCAACCTCGACAGCTGGCAGAGGAAACAAATCACGCTGACGACTCGCCTCAACATACCGATCAAAATCTGCCGATGCTCGGTCCTCTGGCACAGCACCGCGGGTGGACCAGGCCCGCGCGCCAGAAGGCAGCATGGTCATCCGCCCCCCTCCCCGTCGGCCGGGGCGAGCCCTGCTTTGCCTCCTCTGCCTCCACCGCCCTTGCCTCCTTTGCCTCCGCCTCCACGTCCACGCCGCTCCTCAGCAGCCTTCCGCGACTCCTTGAGGATGGCGGCCTCGTCCCTGAACTTAGTAGCCACATGGGCCGCCAGCTCCGGCGCCACTGACGCGGAGGCGGTGGCTGGCCCCCAGCCCATGAAGTGGTCTGCCCCCGAGAAGTCGGGCGCGGACGAAGAGTGCGCGTAGGCCGACTTGATGAGCTGGAGCCTCCTGATGACAAGCTCCATGGACTTCAAGGCCGGCACATTCAACTGGTCGTGGCACACCGCGGCTGAGAGCACCTGCGACAGAACGAAGTGCTCGTGGATGGCGCGATCGCCCTCGTGCAGCCTGGCCTTGCGGAGCCAAGCTTCATGGGCCGCCTGGGGCGTCGGTCCGTTCTCTGCCACGTGGCGGCAGAACCAGGAAGCCGTACGAGGGCCCTGCAGGTCAAGTCCACCCGCGGGCAACGTGTCATCCTGCCGCTGCACCCCCTCGCTGAACGTGACCCTGCGTGCTCCGCTCGAATCGAACTGCACGGGCTGCACTCGCAGGTCATCGTAGGTGAAGCGATACACCTCGGGGCGAGTCAACTGCCGCAGCGCGACGTAGCCTCCCTTCCATGGCATGATGGCCCTGTCACCCGCAGAGATGGTGTCCACCGTGACTTCAACCTCAGTGCCCTTTGCCAGGTCCTCGGCGTCCTCAGCAGCTACCCACACGAGGTCCGCTCGAGGGGCCGGCACGGCGATGCCCGCCGCCTGGACCCCCTGCCCGGGGGGCCGGGGGTCGGCCAGCCCCTGGGGGGGCGGCGGCCCCGCTCGAGGCACCAGGTCTTCTCCCCCCACTCGGCGCACCCGCGGTATCTCGCCAGGAACCGCGAGACCGAGAGCCAGCGCCGCGTCGAGGACCTGCTGGCGCAAGTCATCCACTGTCGGCACGTCCCTGAAACGGTAGATGGGCGCACCCTGCAGCGCGGGCGGGGTATCCCCAAGACCAGCAGCTCCTCGGATCCTCTCGACGTCATCGGAGGCGGGCGAGCAATCCTCGATGTACGCGTCCCCGTCCGGGGTCAGCATATAATAGTGCCCTGCCTCGGTGGGATGGACCGCCAGCACTATCCTCTCATGCCAGAGGTCGGGCCCCGCAACATTGTACTTGACCAGCAGCACATCACCTACTCTCGCCATGGCGACGAGCCTTGATCAACGCGAGCTGCTTCTGAGCAAGATCCTGAAGAGTTCCTCCTGCCTCTGAAGGCTGAGTAGCCTGGGCCGATGTCTCGACCTGAGGGGTACGCCTCCTGGAGCACAACCACGTGGGTATGGCCACCAGCGCACCACAGAGCCAGCCCGCTCCGAAAAGGGTGAGCCCTGCGAGCAGGTAAGCCAGGTGTCCGATGACGCCCTTGCCCTCCGACAAGCACTCCACGTGGATCGGCGGGACGTGCACCTCTGGGCAGCGCAGCTCGACCTGCGTCGGCGGCGGCGCTGGACAGGAGAGATTGACCACAGTATCGTGCCGCGCGCAGACCGCGGCGGAGATGGCAGACTGGAGAGACAGATCAACCAGTCGGGGCAGGAAGGTGGAAAGCGGCTCCCACATGCAGGGAGAAAAGACTAGAACCAAAAAGGCTACACTACAGAGCAATATAGAATGCGGACTCAACTGGGAGCAAGCTCTGGAGAAGATTGCACCACATACATTGCTCCAGAATTATTGCAACACGTAGGTTGCACCACGGTGATTGCACCACATTGATTGCACAACATAGAAGTGCAAATCACTGATTGCGAAACAAAAAGTGCACAACATACATTGCTACACACAGAATGTACCACATGGATTGCTCCACATCGATTGCACCACATATTCTGGTAGAAACATGCTGTTTGGGGTCCACGCTGGCTAACATGTTGCTTAGGTGTTTGAAAGAATATGGAGTTACCGTTTTTTCAATCTTCCGACCGCCCACGACAGCCCGTTCAGCCCCCCAAAATTGCAACGATTCAGGCCAAGAGGCCGGACGGCCACGAGACGAACCAAGAGGGCCCCAGGACGACGGCCCCAGATGCTCCCAAGAAGCCTCCACACCCCCAAAGAGGGTCCGAAGCGAGGGGGAACCGGAACTGAGATCTCGAACCCTTTCCCGACAGGTGGCCCCCAAGACCGCCAGAAAGCCCCCCCCCGAGAGGACCCCAGAGGCCCCCCAGACGCCCCCACGAGACCCCAAGAGGCTCCCAAGGAGCCCCAGGCAGGAGGCCTCAACAGTGCCCCCCGCGAGCACAGGCAAGTGCCAGCGATGCTGCTGGACAATCCTCCAACACAGCCTCCAGGACGCTCTTAAGAGAATCGTCGGAAAGGTCCCCCAGAAGCCCCACAGACCCTTGATCTGTACAGTCGGGGCGTTGACCTAAGGAACCCTACATAAGGAACGAGGCCCCTTCTTCCCATCAGATAAACTTCCATTCCCCAAGGAAAACCTCAGGAAAACGCAGGGCGAACTGTAAAACAATCAAGGAACACCGAGCCCCTCCCCAACGATAAGGGTTCCTTCTTCAGCGCCCCGACTGTATCCAAGAGGCCTCTGACCCAGAACCCAGGCGCGGTGGCCGGATGGGTATGCACTTCTACCCTGCTCGTGCTCCTTATCAGCGTGCATGGGCGGAGGGCCTCACGAGGCCCCCTAAGACGCCTTCCGCTTCACCTCGTCCTGCTTCTCCTCCGCCTTCCTCCCCAGAGTATTCCCCGAAGGGTTTCCCCCGCGGCCGAGAGAACGGTTCCTCCTCCTTTTCCTCCTCCTCCTCCTCCTCCTCCTCCTCCTCCTCCTCCTCCTCCTCCTCCTCCTCCTCCTCCTCCTCCTCCTCCTCCTCCTCCTCCTCCTCCTCCTCCTCAGCGCGAGCTTCACGCACCAATCTGGGCGAACTACCACCGCCCGACGATTCCCGAATCGCCCCAGCCACGCAAGACACGGCAACGATGACGCTTCACGGGCCAGCGGAGTCCGCGAAGCAACGACGCGCACATCCTCTGGGCCTGGCCTCCGCGCCGGCGGTGCGGCACGCTCGCAGGGGAGCACGGCGGAGAGGGCAGCAAGCAGGGTCGTGCCGTGTCGACGCGGCAGCGACTCCGCCGCGGGCGCTCAAGGTTGAACGCCGCAAGTGCTCCAGAATCGGCCAACACGGAACGAGCTGGCGATCGCAAAAAAAAAACGCCGATCGTTCAAGCTCGAACGATCCGCGCGTTGTCAGAAACCAGCGATGCGCTCATCACGACACGGACCTGCCGCACCTCGGCGGCGAGCCCAGGGGGGGAGCGAGAAGGGGGCAGGCCTTCTCAAAGGCGGCGGGGGGCTTCTCAGGAGCCCTCGCGCCTTCTGGGAAGCCTTCTCCGAAGCCACAGACGGCCTCGCAGAGGGCGCGAGGGCCTCTGAGAAGGCCCGCCGCCCTCTGAGGAGGCCCGACCCCTCTCGCCTCCCCCCGGGGCTCGCCGCCGAAAAGAGTGCGGAGCAGGCCCCCGGAGACCCCCGACGGAAGGACCCAAGCCATGCGCCTCTGCCACTGGCAGCCGGGCGACACGGTGCGATGCAGGAGCCCCCAAGGATCTATTATCCACCGCCTGGGAACCGACGTCCTGGTGCCCCAGCGGGCGGTGGATATGGATATGTTTCGGCCCCCGGGGGCACGAATATGTCCATATCCACCGCCTGCCGACGCTCCGAAAACTCACCCTCCAGGCGGTGGTCATGTATAAATTCCCGCCTCGGACCCCCCCCCTGTCACCGTCCACTGGGGGGCGCTGGGCAGGCCGTCGAGTGGGCATGAACCCACACTGCGCATGCGCCACAGGGAGCGTCCGAGTGAGGGGTCCGAACGGTCATTCACTGTCCCTGGGTGCGCGACTGACGTGGGATTGCATGGCCCGGATTATTGTTGTTTGTTGTTGTTTGTTGATCTCGCCTTCGCTGGCGACCCAACCCGCGACCCACCCGCGACCCGCCCGCGACCCACCCGCGACCCACCCCGCGCCCGCCCCCACTTTTATCCGCAATTTCGGGGCGCTACAGATAGGAGGACTTCTGGTGGGAAGTAGAGAGGAAGACAAGAAAAGGGATACAGCGGCACTGTACAAGATAAGGTACTCGGGGAACACACACGGGACAGTGCCCCCCAGGCCATTCTTAACTGAGAGACATAGCGCAGCCGAGCTCCCCCTCACCCCTAAGCCGAAATAGAAAGCAGGTCGCCAGTTGGACTTAAGCGATCTGAGATCCGAAGAAGTAGACACGAGTAGAACGAAATCCGCCGACCCTGTCGGCGTGTGTGAGGGGCTTGTCCGTTCAAGTCGTCATCTCCGTCATTCGTTGGTCGTCGTCTCTGTCGTTCCCTTTCCCTGCCTCGCCCCTTTCCCTGGGCTCGTCGAAGCTCCCCCCTTTCCCAGGGACCTCCTCAGCGCGCCAGCCAAAGCAAAAATAAGCAACGTCGTAAGAAGGCGTTTCTTTGTTCGGCGATGACGGGCGTCATGGGGGGGGGGGAGGGCGGGGGGGGGTATGACGTGACGCCCCCCCCCCGCCGTGTGGCTCCGGCACCACAGCCGCGCCCGCGCGCACGACGCGACGAGCGACAAGCGACGAGCGACGGCGACGACGACGCGAGCAGAATGTAAGTGGCGATCTGCCCATTGCGCCTGTGTACACCACAACGCTCGCGTGCACCACACCGCGCGTGTGCACCACAGCGCCTGCGTACACCGCAACAGCCGTGTGCAACGCACCGCCCGTGTATACCACAATACTTGGAGGCACTACAGCGCCGGTGCACATACACCGCAGCAGCCATGTGCAACACAACGCCTGTGTACACCACAGTGCTTGCGTGCACCGCAGCGCCTGTGCACGCCACAGCGCCTGTCTACACCACAGCATCTGCGTGCAACGCAGCGCTGGTGTACACCACAGCGCCTGCGTGCATAGGACAGGTAGAAGGAACATATACGTCAGGATCTGGTGCGGACAACTAAACGCCACGCCAGGAAAGTTATGATAATCGAATGCGACGTTTTTCCCTCCTCCCTCCTCCTCCACCTCCACCTCCTCCTCCTCCGCGTCCTCCTTTTCCTCCTTCTTACCCCCCCCCTGTCGTGCGGCTTGGCGTTACAACGCACGTGCGCATCTCAGCGTGCACCGCAGAATGGTCGATTGAATCGGTCCACCTGGTTCTCGGACGGCCAGTTTAGCTGGAGCCTCCTGGACGCAGATGAGAGTTAGGGTGATGCGGGCGGACTCGGGGGGACTCGTAAATTCCAGCGGCGCTCCTGTGTCCATGAGGATTTGTTTTCCATTGTTTTCTCTGGAATCCACACGCGCTCCATTTTGTCACAAGGATTCCTTCTGAAATTCTATACACAACAATGGTGCTGTGTTGCACACGGCTGATGTGGTGCACACAGGCGCCGTGGCGTACACAGGCACTGCAATGCACGCAGGCATTGTGGTGTACACTGGTGCTGTGTTGCGCACGGCTGATGTGGTGTACGGAGGCGCTGTGGTGTACACAGGAGCTGCTGTGCCCGCAGGCACGGTGGCACAAACTGACGCTGTGTTGCACGCGGCTGCTGTGGTGTACATCGGCGGTGTGGTGTACACAGGCGCTGTGGTGCACGCGGGCACTGTGATGTACACAGGCGTTGTGTTGTATATCGCCACCTACATGTTCGTGCTACCCGTCCTCCGTCATTCCTAACCATTCCCAAACGCCGCCGGCGCGAAACGTGACGTCATCGACCCCGTCCCCCCCAGATGATTGCCGTCATCGGCCCGGACTTAAAAACAGGCTCCAGCCGCGTCCGCGCGCACGACGACGATGAGCGACGAGCGACGAACCACGAGCGACGACGACGAACGACGACGACGACGACGACGACGACGACGACGACGACGACGACGACGACGACGCCTGCGGACCAGACACCTACGCGGATTCCTACGCGGACACCTACGCGGATCCCAATGCGCACGGTGGCAGTGCTCGGAGCGCACTGGGGGGAGCGTTACGTCATGGGGGGGGGGGGACGTCATGCCCCAAGCAATAAAGAAATGGCCTCTAAGTGGATCCCTCCCCCGCCGGGGTGGGGGGAGGGGTCCCGGGGGGGGGTCAGACGCCCCGGGGAGGGGGGGGGTCAGATACGACGCCCCCTCTGGGAGTCCCGGAGCCCAAAAAAGCCCCAAGACGGGCCAAGAGTGCCCCAAGAGGCCCCAAAGACAGTCCAAGAGAACCCCGAATCGCTGAACGATCTGTCCAAGACGCCTTGACGGCCTCCAGACGGCCCAAGAGGCATACAAAGCGCCCCTAGGAGGCCTCCAGGAGCTTTCTCACGAGAGCCCCAAGAGGCAAAATTCACGGATTTCCCATACGTTTTTGAAAGATTTTGGCGTTCTTACCCCGACGCGCCAAAACGGCCCAAGAGGCCCCAAAGATCGCCCCGAGACGGCCCAAGAGGCCCCCAAGAGGGCCCCCTAACGGCCGAAGAGAGCCCCAAGACGGCCCAAAACGCCTCCAAGACGGCCCAAGAGGCCCCCAAGGCGGCTCCAGGAGAGTGCCCAGACGGGGGACCCGAACGGACATTTCGAGCTCTCAGCCCCAAGAGGCTCCGAAGAAGCCCCAAGAGGCCCCAAGAGGCTCCCAAGGGGCCCCCAACTGCCCCAAGACAGCCCAGGAGAGCCCCAAATTGCCCAGGAGGCCTCCAAGAGTGCCTCGAGACGGCGCAAGAGGAGCCCTGGACGGCCCAAGACGGCCTCGGGAGAGCCACAGGCTGTCCCAAGAAAGCCTATGGCCTTCTCCTCTTCCTCCTCCTCCTCCTCCTCCTCCTCCTCCTCCTCCTCCTCCTCCTCCTCCTCCTCCTCCTCCTCCTCCTCCTCCTCCTCCTCCTCCTCCTCCTCCTCCTCCTCCTCCTCCTCCCCCTCTGCTCCCCCTCCTTCTGCTCTCCTCTGCCTCCTTCTCCTCCTCTTGCTTCTCCTCCACATCCTTTCCTCCCTCCTCCTCTCTCATCCACCTCCTCCACCCTGCCCCCCCGTCGTTTTCATCTTCGTCGCTCTCAGGGTCGGCGGCAACGGCCGTAAGGCCTTCGCAATCTGGTGCAAATCGTCGAGCTTCGCATGTTTGATGATCACGTCGGGCTCTAGCTGCACCAGCCACATCCCACCGAGCAATGCCAACGCCCACTGCCATTTCCCGCCTTTCTCGCACGCGCTGATCCCAGCGCTGTAGCTGACAACGTCGGGATCCATCTTCGCCTCCCACATCTCGCTGATCAGCACCAGAGCCTGCTGCCAACGCCCGCTTTTTTCGCACGCGCTGATCCTAGCGTTGTAGCTGACAAATGTGCACCCGTGGGAATTCTACGGCAAGCAAGTCGAAGCACCGGCCCCGAACGCGCAGTGGCCGACGCGAGCAGAAGGAGAGCGAGGGTGGCACTCAGAGAGAGGGGCTTGGAGGCCCTCAGAGGCAGAGGAGGAAGAAAAGCGAGGAGAGCGGGGAAAGGAGCTTTCCAGGGCCTTGCTCGGGGTCTGCGGCTGTCTTGAAGCTACTGTCGTGGAGGCTCCCTCGGCCGTGGGGTGGGCCGAGGCTTGCTGGTGTGCGCAGGGAGGAGGAGAGGAGAGGGCGAGGGAAAGGAAGGCGAGCACAAGGAGGAGGGCGGCACCGGAGGGAGGGGTGCGGAGGCACCCAGCAGAGGAGGAGGAGGAGGAGGAGGAGGAGGAGGAGAAGGGAGGAGGAGGAGGAGGAGGAGAAGGGAGGAGGAGGAGGAGGAGGAGGAGGAAAGAGGGGGAAGAGAAGAGAGGAGAGCAGGGAGAGGGGCTTTCTAGGGCCTTGTTTGGGGTTCGGGGTTTTCTTTTGGGCTACTGGATGTCCAGACACGGCGAAAGGTACCGGGCTGGAGGCTCTCTTGGTAACTCCTTGGCAATCATCGGAGTCTAGAAGTGATCTGGGGCCTTCTGTGCGGCCTGGGGATTTCTTCGGGGCGTCTGGAAATCCAGAAACGGCGAACGGTGTTGGGACTGGAGGCTCTCTTGGGAGCTCCTTGGTAACTATCAGAGTCTGTTGGAAGGCTCTAAGGCAATGTCGGAGCGGTCTTTCTTGGACCAGTCTCGGGGCCCTCTTGGCCCATTTGGGGGCCCCGCTGGACCGTCTCGGGGGACTCTTGGGCCGTCTTGGGGCCATGTTGAGGGTCTGGGACCGTCTTGGAGCCCGCTGTGGGCCCTCTTGGGCAGCTCCCGGGACCCTCTTGGAGCCGTCTTGGGGGGGACCACTGGAGGCTCTGTTTGGCCGTCTGCTGCCGCTCCTGGGCTGTCTTTTCCGTCTTGGGGCCACCTGGGGCCCTTCAGAGCCTTTCCGGACGCCCCCTGAGGCCCTCCGGGTGTGCCCTGAGGCTCCCACCCTCAATCGGTCCCCTGACCCTTCTCGCACACATTTGCCGCGGTATCGTAGAGATGATCACGTTGTGCTCCAGCTTCGCCTTCCACATATCGGCCAGCAGCACCAGCACCCGCTGCCACTGCTCGCCCTTTTCGCACGCGCTGATCCCAGCGCTGTAGCTGACTAGGGCTGACCCGTGGACTCCGTCCACGACATCTTTCTGGAATGGTTCTCGGAGGAACGGCACAAATTGCACCGAAAATCTACAAACACGGCAGACCCCTTTGGGGGCCACTTGACATGGCATGGTGACGTTTTCGTGTCGTGACGGCTCCGGTGGGTTGCGCGCGCGGCTGACAGCTGGGCCGTTTGAGCCCGCGAGCCTCTGGAAGGCGAAGGCTCCGAGGTGATGGCAAGATGCCTGGAGGAGAGCGTGGATTCGTCGGGGCGCCCGAGCGGTGCGAATGGCCAAGATGGCTCAAGATGGCGTTCAGAGCGGTGAGAACGGCCAACGCGGCCCAAGATGTCGGGGGTCCGAGCGGCGCGGATGGCCAAGACGGTCCAAGGTGGCTCTAAGAGGGCCCCCGAGGGCCACTATCGCATACTGTAGGCTCGCTCTGGGCGCCAAAGGGCCCTGCGGAGCATTTTTCTAAGAAAAAGTGCTTGCAGATCCCTTTGGGGGCCACTTGACATGGCATGGTGACGTTTTCGTGTCGTGACGGCTCCGGTGGGTTGCATGCGCGGCTGCTGGCCCAGTGACGACGACGGCGACGACGAAGACGACGACGACCCCACGGACCGAAATCCATTAGAAGAGGCTTTGCAAACCATTGTGTTCTCCGATGTCTTCTGCGTTGTCGCTTTTGGAAAGGTTTCACCGTGCGTCCCTGGAAATGTGGGAAACCCAATGTATCTGGAGTTGTCGCTGAAGGCCCCCCGCTGGGAGGACCGTTTCGGCAGAGCGTCCGGGTTCCGCCGAGGTTGGCATATGCAATTGTGCGTTGGTCTCGGGGCGATTTGCAAGGACACACGGGGGATCGGCGTCTTGGGCCCATCTTGGGGCGTCCCGGAGCCCTCTGGGCCCGTCTTGGGGGCCTCTTGGGGTCCTCTTGGCGCGTCTTGGGCCCATCTTGGGGCGTCCCGGGGCCCTCTGGGGCCGTCTTGGGCTGTCTTGGGGCGTCTTGGGACCGTCTGGGGGCCCTCTTGGCCCGTCTTGAGGCCCTCTTGCGGGCCTCGTCGGTGTTTTTGGAGCGGTCTTGGGGACCTCTTGGGCCGTCTTGGAGCGCAGGGACGGCGAAAAGGGGAGAATGCGAAAAACATAGAAAAACACAATGGAAATCGACGATTGCTCCCGCTCGGGGCCCTGCTGGGAAGCCTCTGGGGAGGCCTCTTGGGGCATTTTGGCCGCCTCTGGGGCCGTCTTGGCCCAATCTTCGGCGTCTTGGGCCCATCTTGGGTCCCAGGGCCCTCTGGGGCCGTCTTGGGGGCCTCTTGGGGCCCTCTTGGCGCGTCTTGGGCCCATCTTGGGGCGTCCCGGGGCCCTCTGGGGCCGTCTTGGGGGGCCGTCTTGGGCTGTCTTGGGGCGTCTTGGGACCGTCTGGGGGCCCTCTTGGCCCGTCTTGAGGCCCTCTTGCGGGCCTCGTCGGTGGTCTTGGAGCGGTCTTGGGGACCTCTTGGGCCGTCTTGGAGCGCAGGGACGGCGAAAAGGGGAGAATGCGAAAAACATCGAAAAACACAATGGAAATCGACGATTGCTCCCGCTCGGGGCCCTGCGGGGAAGCCTCTTGGGAGGCCTCTTGGGGCATTTTGGCCGCCTCTGGGGCCGTCTTGGCCCAATCTTCGGCGTCTTGGGCCCATCTTGGGGCGTCCCGGAGCCCTCTGGGGCCGTCTTGGGGGCCTCTTGGGGCCCTCTTGGCGCCTCTTGGGTCTATCTTGGGGCGTCCCTGGGCCCTCTGGGGCCGTCTTGGGGGGCCGTCTTGGGCTGTCTTGGGGCGTCTTGGGACCGTCTGGGGGCCCTATTGGCTTGTCTTCAGGCCCTCTTGCGGGCCTCGTCGGTGGTCTTGGAGCGGTCTTGGGGACCCCTTGGGCCGTCTTGGAGCGCAGGGACGGCGAAAAGGGGCGAATGCGAAAAACATATGAAAACACAGTGGAAATCGACGATTTCTCCCGCTCGGGGCCCTGCTGGGAAGCCTCTTGGGAGGCCTCTTGGGGCATTTTGGCCGCCTCTGGGGCCGTCGTGGCCCAATCTTCGGCGTCTCGGGCCCATCTTGGGGCGTCCCAGGGCCCTTTGGGGCCGTCTTAGGGGCCTCTTGGGGCCCTCTTGGCGCGTCTTGGGCCCATCTTGGGGCGTCCCGGGGCCCTCTGGGGCCGTCTTGGGGGCCTCTTGGGGCCCTCTTGGCGTGTCTTGGGCCTGCTACACTTTTTGGTCCGAATCGCCCTTCTCGCACGCGCGGGTCCCTGCATTGTAGTATAGACTAGGGCTGACCCGTGACCTACCCGCCACGAGATCTACCTGAGATGGCACATCGGGCCAGGGCAGCGATGTTGCCGAAAGACTTTCGTGATGACGTTGGGCCCGAACTTCGCCTCTGGTGTTGCTGCCTGCAGCTATAAGGTGCTGCTGTCTGCGGCATGTTGCTGCTTCTGCGAACTTTGGCTGTGTGCTGGCGCTGCTTGCCGCGGACTGCTGCTGTTCGCTGTTGCCACCTGAGGCTGCAGAGTGCTGTTTCTCGGTACCCTTGCCAGCTGACGCAGCCTGGAGTTGGTGAGTGGACCGAGGAGCGAGGAGCGAGGAGTGAGGATGGAGGGTCGAAAGGGGAGAGGAAGGGAGGAGCGATCAGCGACGAGCCAGACGAGAGTAGGGAGCAGGGAACGCAACGGTCGAAAAGAGAAGTGCACGAGAGAGAGAGAGAGAGAGAGTCGAGGAGGTACGAGGGAGAGCCGAAGGAGGGGCGAGCCAGACGCCAGTAGTCGAGAGGGAGCAGGGAAGGGGCCAGGAGAGGGGGGCGAGGAGCGAGGAGAAGCACGAAGAGAGGAGCCAGGGGCGAGGAGGGAGAGGCGAGGAGCGGCGAGAGAGCGGCGAGCATCGAGGAGCAGCGAGCGACGTGGGGGAGACTGGGTGCACGAGAAGAGGCCCGCAGACGAGTCTCTCGGCGGCCGCGGCGCGTGTGTGGCTGACGTCTGGCCTCCCCTGGGGTCGCCGACGGGGCACTCCTGGGCGGCCGGCGCGGTCCCAGAGCAGTGTGAGGAATTGTCCCGCGGAAGCCTCTGTGAGGCGGCTTGCGGGGTGGCTTGGGCCTCTCGGGGCCCTCTTGGGCCTGATGAGGGCCTCGCGCGGGCCTCCTGGTGCTTCTGGGAGGCTTCTTGGGGGCGTGCTGGCGGTTCAGGGGGCTATCTCGGCGCGAAGGGTGCGGAATGCAAGTTCCAGTTTCCCCTCTTGGGACCCTCTTGGGTCCCTCTTTGGGGCCGTCTTGGGTAGAGGGGCTCGCAAGAGCTCCAGGAAAGCCCACAAAGTCCCCAAGAGCGCCCCAAGAGCAGCCTGAGAGGGAACAAGAGGCGCATTTTCGGGATCCAAACACGGGATCCTAAGTCTAGGTCGGGCATGTCCCCTTACAGGCCGATTTTGGAGGAAAATCAAACATAGTCAAAAAAAATATTCAAAAATAATCCTAAAATGCTCAAAAACTCGTCCCCAGGCTATTGTTGGACTATCTCTGGAGACTCCCCCTATATAGAGGGACAGGCCCGGCTTGATCCGAAGTCGAGATTCCCCTTTTGGGATCGATGGCCTCCAGGATGGCTCCGAGTCCGAGAGCGCCCCCGCGGCTCCCGCAGGGGCTCCCCCTAGGAAGAGGGCACAAGAGAGCCTCAGAATGCTCTGAAAAAGGCCCCAGGGAGACCTCCAAGAAGACTCCAAGAGGCCCCCAGAGGTCTTCGAGTTCAGCACGCATCCGCCTTTTTCTGGTTCCGCCGTGTCCATCTACTTCTCCCCACTGTTCATCTGGACGTCGTTTCTGGATGGGCTGCCGGGAATACGGGAAACGTCAAGAATTACATTCTGACATCCACCTGTCAGTCGGCGGAACGGCATAAGCATCTGAAGTACTTCCTCGGGGGAATATCTGCAGAATCACCTTGGTTGCTCTTGGGGGCTGTCGCGGGCCCACCTTGTCGGATCTTGGGGCCATCTGGGGGGCCTCAAGACTTGGAGCGTGTCGCACTGCCTCGGATCTGTCCTTGCACGGTCTGGGGCCAGTCGTGGGACGTGAGAAGCTCTGTCTGGGGCGTGGGAGCCGTGGGAGCACGTGAAGGCGTCATTCGGGGGCGGTGCCGGAGCCCTCCTGGGAACCCTTCTGGACCAGCTCGGGCGAGTCTGGGCTCGTCTCCGGCCAAGAGGCGAGCAGCCCGGACACGCTGCAGAGGTGCAAAGTGACTTTAAAGGGGCCCCAGGACACACAAATAAAAACACACAAATAAAATAATCCCCTATATTTTCTTATATTTTCTGGGTTTCTGTCTTCCCGTTCGCTTCCCATATTTTCCCATATCTTCGGAGGAGTCGAGGATTAATTGTGTCTGTGTGTTTTTTCCTCTCCTGAGACTGGAAGCCCCGGGGGCCGTGCGAGAACCTGCAGTGCGGCTGTCTGGGAGGATCCGCCTCGGACTCCACGCGAGCCTCTGGAACATGTACTGGGCCACTGCAGGGCCGTCGGGTGGCGGGGGCCGCGCCTGGTGCGGCTGGCGGCGACCGCGACGGCCTGGGCGCTCCGGCGCCGCGGATGTCCAGGAGGCTTTATCGCATGCCCCATCGGAGTTACTCGGACGACCACATTGGGCTTCAGCTCTGCCTCCCACATCTGGCTGAGCAGTGCCAGAGCCCACCGCCACTGCTCGCCTTTCTCGCACGCGCTGATCCCAGCGTTGCAGGAGATGATGTCGGGATCAATCCTCGTCATCCACATCTCGCTGAGCAGCGCCACAGCCCGCTGCCATTGCTTGCCTTTCTCGCACGCGCTGATCCCAGCGTTGTAGGTAACTGGTACAAACTAGCGGGTGGACTCCACAAGCAAGTGCTGCTCTGGATTCATCCTGCTGCCGTTTGCTGCTGTC